TTTCACTACAAGAGTCTGTGGGGAGATCTAATCGTTTTTTAAATGGATTAAAATTGCGATATCCAGATCAGTTCCAGGAGGACAGGATGTTGAATATAGACTATGTGATGGATCGGATATTATCCGTTGAAATAAACTGGGATAACGTCGTTGATTTTGGACGGCAAAATTTAACGAATAATCTCTATAGCAACTTTTTACCCAATCATACACGCCATAAACGTTCGTCTCAGGATTCAGTGGAGTATTTGGTCCATGATCAGGATGTGAATGAAAATGGATCGTTGTTTAAACCTATATATAAACACTCGGAGGAGGTTGGACACTCACGAGAGGAATATATAGCTCATTGTTTACATTATGCTAGTTTATCTGTCCTGTCTATTCTTCTTTTAGAGGTAAGTTACAAATTTTACTGTCAAATTACAAATTCAAATTACAGATTTTACTTTGTCAAATTACAGATTTTACTGTCATATTACAGATTTTACTGTCAAATTACAGATTTCAAATTACATTTTTAAATGTATTAAATTACAGATTTTACTGTCAAATTTCAAATTTTACAGACAAATTACAGATTTAACTGTCAAATTACAGATTTTACTTTGTCAAATTACAGATTTTACTTTGTCAAATTACAGATTTTACTGTCAAATTACGGATTTTACTGTCATATTACAGATTTTACTGTCAAATTACGGATTTTACTGTCATATTACAGATTTTACTGTCATAATACAGATTTCAAATTAAAGATTTAAATGTGTTCAATTACAGACTTACTGTCAAATTTCAAATTTTACAGACAAATTATAGATTTAACTGTCAAATTACAGATTTTATTATCAAATTACAGATTTTACTTTGTCAAATACATTTTAATTTGTCCAATTGCTAATTATATTGCCAAATTAAACATTTTACTGTCAAATTACAAATATTACTGTCAAATTACAATTATACACACAAATTACAAGTTTTACTGTCAAATTACAGACAGACTAAACTAACTTATATATAATTTACATTTTTTTTCTCAGAGATCCATTTCAGTAATATTCTTTTTACATATCATTCAATATGAGATAGAAGTAGATTTTAACCTTTCAATATGAATAAATCAATTCTGCCATATATTTATAATGATAAACGTTATGTTGTAGTATTATCTCATATTTTACTATAGTCAGAAATCGCATGATATATTGTATCGAATATTTTATATAGTTATTACAAGTTATTCCTGGCTTGATATTTTCGGGTTGTTTCTCTAGAGTATTGACTTCATCTTATCTTTTCTTATAATAACTTGCCAAGCTTTATCATAGACCATATGCATTAACTGTTCATTTATAGGGTATGGCCTTGTTGTTAAAAAGTAGTGTTTTTTTTTTCTAATATTTAGGGACTATGCAACCCCTATTTCACTCAGCCCGTGTCTCTCATTCAGGCGTAAGAGTCTGTCACAATTTCATGACCCCTCTCTGGAAGGATACTGTTAATGAAATGATCTTGCATTTAAACCTAGGCATGTGTTTTTGAGGCTTTTAATCCTGTAGAATGACTAACTGCTATTATAACTGTAACTTTTGTCTTGCTTCTTTACAAATGTTAACATCACATATAAATTGAGATGAAATTTCTAAATCATGTCTTTTAGCTTCAAGTTATCTGTTGAAACACAATTTAGCTGTTAAAAAGATAAAAATAACAATTTATTTTCTGGTTTGAAATGTCAAACATGTCTTGTGGCAGGTTTTTATTGACAAGAAAATATCAATCTCAAAATGATGTTAAGATATTTCACCAAGATGGACTTTGATTTAATACTTTTGTATCAAAATAAGTTTTTAACTTGAATAATATTTTTATCAGCCCACATATAATAAAAGGTATTTAATTGTCTAATTTGATAGTTTGAAATATTTGAAAGGGATGCTGAGTTGACAAACCTAAATACCAAATAAAGATAATTAGTTATGTGGATTCTTTGAAGAGGTTGTCAGTGGATGTACACTGGGGGTGTTCACCCTTCACCCAAATTGTACCCCCACTTTATTTTTAACAAATTCAGAATTATGATTTTTAAAACACTTTGGCTCCAAACTTTGTAGCACAATGCACAAAATCCATTGAATTTCTTGAAAAATGTTCATAAAGAGCTGTGTCATTTTTCTTAAAGAGATAATGAGTTGACAAACCTTAATACCAAAAAAACAATACTAGCTATGTGGACTCTCCTAAAGGCAGAAATTGAGTTGATGAACCTAAAACCAAATTAACATTATAAACTATTTGAACTCTCAGATATGCTCAGTTGATAAACCTAAGGCCAAATAGACAATATTAAGAATGTGAACTCATTAAAGATATGTTTAATGGACAAACCCAGCAACAGAGTGGAATCAGTGCTCCTGAAGAGTGCGCATAGAAACTAAAATTTATTTTTTTTAAGACCTCAAATGTTGAGATACAACAACATAGTCTGATTTTATTAATGAATAATATGATAGATATAAAAATAAAATAGAAAATAAACGGAAGTTATAAATCCTGGAAAAATAAAATAATTTTATTTCCAAACCTCTAGAGGGTTCATCTCATCTCATCTTATATCCATTATAACTGTTTTATTTCTTCAACTTACACACGATTACACTTCAACTTTTATATTCTAACAGATTATACTGTATAAAATTACATTAGATAATATTAGATATGTGGCAATAAATAAACCTAGTATTAACAATCCGAACTGCAAAACGAAACCCAAAATCTAAAACAACATGTTGACGAAATCTTCGTAAAAGTCTATCAATCATAAGTGAGTAAGTATTTCATAAAGGCAATCTGAATCTTTATACCAATTGGTATTATATATGTGGACTCCCTTAAAGGGATATTGAGTTGACAAATTTTTATATCAATTGGTATTTTATATGTGGACTCCCTTAAAGGGATATTGAGTTGACAAATCTTTATACCAATTGGTATTTTATATGTGGACTCTCTGAAACATATGCTGAGTTGACAAACCTTAGTATTAGATATGTGGACTCTCTGAAAGACATATTAAGTTAACAAATCTATAAGCTATAAATAGTATTGAATATGTGGACTATCTTGAAGGGAAGTTGACAATCCTAAAATCAAATACATACTAGAGACCGCGTGGCGGAGAGTGGGACTTTGCTAATGTGGCAAATTGCAAGAAACTCTGAAAAAATCAGCATGCAGGGTTAAAAAGGTCACATGCTAGAACAATTTAAAATTATGATATTTTCAGGTTGTGAAACCAGAAGTAGAAGCCAGACATCAGAAATGAAAGTATCATCGAATATCCAAAGTCAATGACCTGTGATCATGTAAAGGAGAAACCACAGAGTGGAACTTCACTAATGCAAAGGAATCTTAAAAAATTGACCCTCTAGACCAGTGGTTCCCAACCTTTTTCAGCCTTCACCCCCCTTGAGCAATCACCTGGACCTTTTACACCCCTAAAAATTTATTTCATCCACATTTCCAGCATGTGATAATGTGAGGTGCTCTCTCAAAAAAAAATTCTTGGAAGCAAAGTCTCACAAATATTAGCTACATGATGAACAATTGGAGAGGATCATGAGTATTTGTACACAAGTACAGCTTTGCTGACTGGAATAATGAGGAAAGATGCCCTAGTAAAATTCAGTATTTATCCAATTTAACTCATAAAAACCGAGGAGAGATCAATGCCAAAATAGTTTCGTTGTAGATCTGTAGTTAAATAATATTCTGTATATGGGTTAATACACTTTTTGGTAGAAACATCTGTTACAATGCAAGTTACATCTAATATAAAAATAATTCTATAGATGATATTTCTATCAGTTACAATCTTTGATATTTAAAGGCCATTGTACGATAATTTTGGGAGTTGATTTTGTTCTTAAATATATGTAAATAGTCTTCAGAAGAACTAGAAATGTTAAAAAATACTTCAAACTAGAAATTTCACTTTCTATTTCTGAATGTCTTTTATTTCTTGGTTCAAATCTGACTACATACACTGAGTTTATTTTTAAATATATTTCTAAATGTTTAGAGTTTTCAAGTGTTTTCAAGTTTTTAATTCCATGCCTGGTTTTTCAACTTCAATAAATATTTATTGCCAAATTCAACAAGTTGCTTTAATAGAATGGTGGATTGAACAAATATATGACCTGCTAAAAACTTAAAATAACAAAAACGCCCTGAAAACTTCAGAATTCAGAAATGCAAAACAAAAACTTGACTTTCTATATGTCAGTGTTCTGTATTTCTTATATAATCTTAACAAAAAGGTGCCCTCATACCATAGCGATTGGCAATTTCAAGTTTTGAAGCAACTCTCATGCAACTGAGGTGTGAGTAGTATATAGAACTCATAGTTATAGTGTGAGGGTACCTTAAGTTAGGTATAAGGGCGGGGTTGCACTTGTACTGTTGTGTAGCATGGATTTTACTTAAGGTAGGGATGGAATACCCCGGCACCCCTTTGCGGATTTTAAAGGGCACTATCATGGCAGTGGGTGGGGGGCCTCTCCCTGGAACACTTGGTGGGAAGCTGGAGTATGCATCAAACGCGATTTTGAAAGTGAAAGTAGAATTAATTTTTCATTTTTTATGACCCAAAGGGTGGGGTATGGCCCAAAAATTACTGCCTAACTACCTCACAGCCCTTGTAACACACCAGTGCAGTAAGGGGAAATCAATAGAAAAATTTTTGTGTTTGATTCTTGAACTTTTAACAATTAATTCCTCAGACTTATCAATTACTCATTAACAGACTTGCGTTGATTTTAATTAAATATCACTTTCTTTTATCAGTTCTTACTATTGTCTCTATTGGTAACAGGGTTATTGATCTGATTTTATTTACCAGTCACATAGAACTGGGACAAATAGAGTGGTTTCTGTTACAAGGGACCATCATGTATCAAAATGATTTTCTTAAACAGTGTACATCAGGGTACATGTTGGTTGTCTGCTCGAGAATGACCATATCAGTCGAACTAAGATGGTTTGTAAATTTCCTTAACATTTATCTAATTTAGGGACAGATGCGCCATTTTTTTTTACTAATCACTCTTTAGTCTCAGAAACTGGAATTGTTTAGCTTAGCCAATCAGTAATAGTGTTCACAGCTCACTGATGAAATTTGAGCCTTCAAATCAAGAATTATCTGCGTTTGAATGTTAAAATGACGACTTGTCAATTTAAGATACTCTGTGATATATAGAAAAGATATATACAGAAATAGTGAGTAAAATTCCTAGTTTAAAGTATTTTTAAAGGAATTATGTGATTTTCTTAAATTTCTAGTATTTCTGAAGACTTTTTACAAATATTCAAGGCTAAAATCAACCCCCAAAAATGCTGCATCTGTCCATTTAAAACAATCTAAGACAGTATAGTTTCACACTGCTTGGTATCATAAGGAGCAGAAAATTTGGACATGAATCTTGTTTCATTAAGTCTAAACATGTATTAATTACCAGACAGTATAATGTGTAAGCTAATTTCTTTCATTCAACACTGTTATGTCAACACTCCCCTCATTGGTCTCTGTAGGGCATGACCTGTCATCTGCAGTTCCATCAGGTACCAGGAAAATATAATATAAACCTCATTTCATTAATTCTAAACATGTATTTAATTATAAGACAGTGTATTGTATATAAACATTGAAGAACATTGTACAACATTGTATTATATTGTATTATATTGTGTCTTATCACACCAACTGTCCATAATTCATTCTGACCACTGTCCACTAGTATAATAGAGTTATAATAACCCCGTCCACCTACAAGCTGTGGTCATTCTTCTGTGAGATTTATTGAGATATATTGTAATATTTTGTGATGATCCAGTCTCTGAGGTATTAACTCTGCATTGTTGTCCAGATTTCTAATTTACACTTTTTGTCATAAAAAACAAAGAGGCATTGTTCTCAATTGAATCCTGTTTTTTTTAGTATCAGGAATTATTCCTGGAAAGCAAATAATATAATATACCAAATAAACATCATTAGCTATGTGGACTCAACTGGAATATATCCATATTTCAGCAATTAGGTTCTGTAATAGTAATAATAATAATAATAACTTTTTATTTTACATGGGTTAGAATTAGGCCCAATACACAAGGTCATGGTCCTGTCTAAAAAAAATACACAATACCTTGATAGACAACGTGTTTAACAAATACACAAGTACATTGTATTAAATGAACAGACTATGTTGCTGTGATCAAGTACATTGTATTAAATGAACAGACTATGTTGCTGTGATCAAGTACATATGTATTAAATGAACAGACTATGTTGCTGTGATCAAGTACATGTGTATTAAATGGACAGACTATGTTGCTGTGATCAAGAACATTGTATTAAATGGCCAGAGTATGTTGCTGTGATCAAGTACATTGTATTAAATGGACAGACTATGTTGCTGTGATCAAGTACATGTGTATTAAATGGACAGACTACGTTGCTGTGATCAAGTATATTGTATTAAATGGACAGAGTATGTTGCTGTGATCAAGTACATGTGTATTAAATGGACAGACTATGTTGCTGTGATCAAGTACATTGTATTAAATGGACAGACTACGTTGCTGTGATCAAGTACATTGTATTAAATGGACAGACTATGTTGCTGTGATCAAGTACATGTGTATTAAATGGACAGACTACGTTGCTGTGATCAAGTACATGTGTATTAAATGGACAGACTACGTTGCTGTGATCAAGTACATGTGTATTAAATGGACAGACTATGTTGCTGTGATCAAGTACATTGTATTAAATGGACAGACTATGTTGCTGTGATCAAGTAGATGTGTATTAAATGGACAGACTATGTTGCTGTGATCAAGTACATTGTATTAAATGGACAGACTATGTTGCTGTGATCAAGTAGATGTGTATTAAATGGACAGACTATGTTGCTGTGATCAAGTACATGTGTATTAAATGGACAGAGTATGTTGCTGTGATCAAGTACATTGTATTAAATGGACAGACTATGTTGCTGTGATCAAGTACATTGTATTAAATGGACAGACTATGTTGCTGTGATCAAGTACATTGTATTAAATGGACAGACTGTGTTGCTGTGATCAAGTACATTGTATTAAATGGACAGACTATGTTGCTGTGATCAAGTACATTGTATTAAATGGACAGACTATGTTGCTGTGATCAAGTACATTGTATTAAATGGACAGACTATGTTGCTGTGATCAAGTACATTGTATTAAATGGACAGACTATGTTGCAGTGATCAAGTACATGTGTATTAAATGGACAGAGTATGTTGCTGTGATCAAGTACATGTGTATTAAATGGACAGACTACGTTGCTGTGATCAAGTATATTGTATTAAATGGACAGACTATGTTGCTGTGATCAAGTATATTGTATTAAATGGATAGACTATGTTGCTGTGATCAAGAACATGTGTATTAAATGGATAGACTACGTTGCTGTGATCAATAAGAAGACCACAAATGATGTGGGTTCCTACTTACCAGCTCGTCCTTTTATACAGATAATTATTTCGTTCCTTGGATATTTTGGGAAGAGTTCACGGTCAAATCTCTTGGTATTAATCTCCTGCAGATCTCGCAAGGCATGATAATCCTAATGTGGATTGAGCTGGGAGAGATCATTACCCAAAGGTTTGGTCAGAACCAGCTGATAAATGGGATCTGTCAGAACTTAAGTTGTTGTTCTTGTAATAAAAATCCATACAAGCAAGACAATTCCATTAATCAAAATCTTGTCTAAAGTATGGCAAAATCAAGAGTAAAAGTTGTATAGTAGTGAGCTCTACAGAAAAGTACCATCAGGTGTTTTGAAAAGAGTAAGCACATGACACCCGCCACTACTATATAGGTCCATATTACCATGATTAAAATGATTACAAAGAGTTTACCTATGTGTGATAAAAAGTCCAGAGATTGAAACCAACGAAGGATTATTGTACCTTACATGATTACCTTTTGAATGCGAGAAGTAGAAACCAAATTCAGATTTGAAGAAGTTATTGATTGTATAGGGCTATCGAGCTTTGATCTACAAAGCTTTGATCTTTCTAAAAGGGTTAGCATGCACTGCCTAACTAGAATACTTTATAGAATGATAGCATGATAGACTACTAAAAACAAGTCCGAAACCAAATTCAGATTTGATCAATATTTTACATAAATAGTGTTGGAGAAGCCATATAAGGTGTGATCTATAAGATTTGTAGAAAGGGCCACCATGTTCTGCCTAACTAGTATACTTTATAGAATTAGTACATAATAGACTACTAAAAACAAGTCTAGTCTATATCAAGTACTTACTTCTATATCTAGTCAATTATTTTTATTACGTCCAACCATTTCATGCTGAACTTTGACCTTTTCCATCAATTATCTGTAATTTGATTGGCTGAGAGAGAAGTATAAATTGCGTGACTCCACGCTTCCGAGATATTTTTAGATTTGTAGCAATCTTGTGGATTAACCCATAAAAACAATTTGACCTGAGTTTCTATTTCACCATCTCTCAGACTTAATGAAATGAACTTTTACATCCTACCCTTGTCTCGGTTTGAAATGTAATATAGCAATACCATGCAGTGTGCAATTAGGTAATTAACAATTGAGGGATCCTTACTATACCCCGTCTGTAAGGTCCTCAGTCTGTTCATTGGTCAAGAAAGTTTCAGAATAGAAATACCACTGTTAAAATAGTGCTCAATACATCAATTATAGAGTGATATAGAAATACCACCGTTAAAATAGTGCTCAATACATCAATTATAGAGTGATATAGAAATACCACTGTTAAAATAGTGCTCAATACATCAATTATAGAGAGATATAGAAATACCACTGTTACAATAGTGATCAATACATCAATTACAGAGCAATATAGAAAAACCACTGTTAAAATAGTGCTCAACACATCAAGTATAGAGTGATATAGAAATACCACTGTTAAAATAGCACTCAATACATCAATTGTAGAGTGATAAAGAAATACCACTGTTAAAATAGAGTTCAATACATCAATTGTATAGTGATATAGAAATACCACTGTTAAAATAGTGCTCAACACATCAAGTATAGAGTGATATAGAAATACCACTGTTAAAATAGCGCTCAATACATCAATTGTAGAGTGATAAAGAAATACCACTGTTAAAATAGAGTTCAATACATCAATTGTATAGTGATATAGAAATACCACTGTTAAAATAGTGCTCAACACATCAAGTATAGAGTGATATAGAAATACCACTGTTAAAATAGTGCTCAATACATCAATTATAGAGTGATATAGAAATACCACTGTTAAAATAGTGCTCAATACATCAATTATAGAGTGATATAGAAATACCACTGTTAAAATAGTGCTCAATACATCAATTATAGAGTGATATAGAAATACCACTGTTAAAATAGTGCTCAATATATCAATTATAGAGTGATATAGAAATACCACTGTTAAAATAGTGCTCAATATATCAATTGTAGAGCAATATAGAAATACCACTGTTAAAATAGTGATCAATACATAAATTGTAGAGTGATATAGAAATACCACTGTTAAAATAGTGCTCAATACATCAAGTATAGAGAGATATAGAAATACCACTGTTAAAATAGTGCTCAATACATCAATTGTAGAGCGATATAGAAATACCACTGTTAAAATAGTGCTCAATATATCAATTGTAGAGAGATATAGAAATACCACTGTTAAAATAGTACTCAATACATCAATTGTAGATAGATATAGAAATACCACTGTTAAAATAGTGCTCAATACAACAAGTATAGAGAGATATAGAAATACCACTCTTCAAATAGTGTTCAATACATCAATTATAGAGTGATATAGAAATACCACTGTTAAAAGAGTGCTCAAAATATCAATTATAGAGAGATGTAGAAATACCACTGTTCAAATAGTGCTCAATACATCAATTGTAGAGTGATATAGAAATACCACTGTTAAAATAGTGCTCAATATATCAATTGTAGAGTGATATAGAAATACCACTGTTAAAATAGTGCTCAATATATCAATTATAGAGTGATATAGAAATACCACTGTTAAAATAGTACTCAATACATCAATTGTAGAGTGATATAGAAA